AATTAATAACTTAAGAATTTTCCACTCCACCCTGTCTCTCTTGACTATTCCCACTGTCTTCTTGTCTGGGGTGCAGTTAATGATCTTACCCTTGCCATCATGAATTAGCAGGTCAGCACCACCAATCTGGTCAGTAAGAGTACGCTGCCACATATTCAGATTGGCCTGTCACCTTTGCCATTTAAAATATCCGATTCCCAAACACAGGTTTTGCAATGGTTATTTTCTGGGGTCATGGCTGTTAATACACCTCGTTTTATTCGCTTGTGACTAGGCAGCAGTGTGATTGACTGGCTAGTGTCGAGCAACGCAATCCGAAATCGCAAGGAGGGTCTCATGGTAGCCTCTTCCCTGCTAAATGAAGGCTACCTGCAGCCAGCTGGGGACACTTCCAAGAATGCTGCCGAAGGATTGTCCGACACCCCCTTCCTTGATCTAGCTGATGCCTATTACTACTTTGTAAGTCTCACGGCATGTTCTTCCATCTTCCAAAGTTTGAAGCTAGGCTTATTGCTGTCCTCAGTCACTCCACCCCATTCCCTAAGACCCCAGCCTGCTCCTCCTGCCTCCCCCCCCACCCTGTTCTCCCCCCTGCTGTTTTTTCCCTCCCAGTTCTGCCCCACCCCCGACGATGCCCCACAGATAACTGGTCTTCCCTATATTGGGGGGAATGATCTAAAGGGGAGGTCAGGTGTCTCCCTTGCTCCACCCAGCCCAGAGCCACCACACCCCATTATCTGCTGGGGGGGGCTCTGTCCTCCCACTGCCTCTGCCCATTCTGGAGGGAGGGAGCCTGGGCGTGGAACAGAAAGGAGCCACCCAATCACTGTTCTGCCGCCCAGCAGCTGCCTGAGAGAGCCTGCTGGGGAGGGGGCTTTTGCTCCCTACCCTGGCTCAGCTGCCAGGGACTGGGGCTGATCGAGCCAGAAATGTGTTGGGGGGATAGGGACATGGGATTGCTGGCCCCTGGCACCCGAGCCCAGGTTGGGAGTGGAAGCCGGTAAAGTCACCAGATATGACTCAGTCAACACAAGGAGCAGGTTCCACTCCACTTTTAGTAGGCAAGAAAGTGTCTTTCTTTAATATTTTGTTTCACCCCCACCTTACATGGGTTCCACTCTGCCCACTGAAGGTCACTGGAGCAGTCACTGGTTAGGACCCTATAGGATAATGGGAGCCTTATTACTGGAGAGAGAAAGGGACCAACAGGGAGTACTGTATGGGCACTGAAATGCAGACCAATACTGCAGCTTTTTCCACATGTCCTGAGATCCATGGGGGAATCCCACAGAGAACCTGGTCCTATGCCCATTTGGCCCCAACATTCAACAGAAGACTCTATGGACGTTCTGCTGGCTGAAATTCAGAGCTTCTTGGCTTTTCTGGCAGATTTTCCAGAGGAAGGTGGTTTGGCCTCCTGGCCATCAAATAATAAGCCAAGCACAAACTGACCTCCTTTCAGGTAGGAGAATGAATCTCTGCAGCCGCATGGTTTCCGAAGGATGTCCTCTTCTTTGTGTCCCTACAGGCAGACAGTGGGTTCTTCTATGAAGGGAATTCTAGTGATGATGACGTGGTCTTGAAGGAAGAGTTCAGAGGCACAGTGGTCAAGCAGGGCTGTTTACTGAAGCAGGTCAGTGTTTCGCTCATTCCACTGTTTTACAACAGGAGTGAAGACAACAAACCACACAAATAAAATATACCCAGAAGCTTCTCAAGACCTTGGAGCTCAGCTGGGTCATCCGAGTGTAACACATTGCGAGTGTGCCTTACAGGCTCCTCTCTGTGTCAATCCACAGAGAATAGGAGTTAGGCTGTCCTCTGGCAACAGTGCTTCAGCTCAGGTTGTAGCTGTTTGTGCTTTAAGCTGGGGAGGACTCAGGTTCTATCCTCAGTGTATTGGCCACGGTGCTGGCTATTTCATGAGTGCTTAGCAGCTAGGATCTTTCTCAGAATGTTCTGGAACCTCCTCATTTTGTACAAAGTGCCTTCTGCTTTTATCAGTACTTTTATCAGTGTTCATAAGACTTATTGTTATTTATGGGACAGTAGTGCCTATAGGCCCAATCAAAATTGGGGACCTACCATGCAAGATGCTATAAATATACACAGTGAGAGACAAACCCTCCCCCAAAAGTTTATAATCTAGAGGGACAAGAGAAATGAACTGCACAAAGGGGAGACACAGCAGCTTCATGGAAGACATGGGACTAGAACCCAGGTCTCTGGTCAGCTTGCATAGTACCCCACCAGCTAGACCACACTGCCCCACAAACCAGGGATTGGGGTTATAGCCCAGCTCTGCTAGAGTCTTCCTGTGTGTCCCAGACAAGCCACAACTCAAGGCTGCTCTGTGAAAAGGAAACAGTAACTCCTCAGGATGCTTTCCTTTCTGTACAATGTACCACCTCATCACAATAGCTTTTATTATTGTAACAATGAGAATATTAGCAGAACAATCGGGCAAGATCAAGGTTCTTCTGTGACATTGACACTGTCCAGTAGCACAATGTGACAAAAACATCAGGGTGAGAGTAAGATATGAGGTATTGGTCATCTCCTGCTAATTGTCTGAAACCCAAAATCTTAGTTTGGCCAAAATTTAAAATATGATGCCCTATGCTGGAGCAATGTGACATGCTCCATACATATACAAAAACCCATGCCCATCTCGAAGGAAGCATCTCTCCACGAGATAATGTGATTTGGTCTGAGAGAAGGGTCACCAAGGAGAAGGGTTTGGTGGGGCTGTGGTTAGAGCAAGTAACCAGTGCTCCTAGGAGTGGCTTCGGATTAGCAGAAGTCCTGGATTGTTAGAGTTGCATAGATCTGTTACATCATCCACTCCTTCTAGGGATGCAGGTTTAATGGCTGCAAAGTCATTCGCAGAAATATCTGTTGGGACACTGAGGCCCCAAAGTTGCAATGAACCCTATGGGGGCAGACCACAGCACCCCCACCCAGAACTCCACTGAGGCTTTGTGCAAGTGCTCTATTCTGCCCAGACAGGGCTCACTGCAGTATCAAGTTTTACATACCAGAGTGGCGGACTCTGTAGAAAACAAAAAGATAAGTAGTTGGATAAAATTGGTAGGTGGTATAATAACTCTTCTTTGTCTAGGAACAGTCCCTTGTCCCCTCTCTGGAGCGACTGTGACAGAAATGCCCCTTTTATTGTCACCTTTTCTGCTCCCTAATTCTCTTTGATGTTTAGATCACATGATGATAGGAGTCATGATGATGGATGCATAGATCACATAGAAACACTACTTGAAGGTGTGATGAGTGCCTGTGAATGGTGCCATAAATCATCTGTGACGAACAGTCCTACTTATTGGCCATGTCATTTGTACTCTTCTTATTAAACTGTATCAAGTACTTCATAGGATGTGACTCTTCACCATATTTCTGCTCTTCACCATATTAGTCACTTTCCTGTACCCACAGCTGGTGGCTCATATCTAGTGAGTAAAGAACTTCCTAGTGAACAGCAACAGTTACTTGAAAAACTGAAATATTTTTGAAATAGCAGGAGGAAATGATGCCTGACAGCTTCTTTTGACCAATATTATTCTGGTTTTTATCATCCATTGAGAGGCCACAGTTTGGGTGTTGCTGCTTTTCTGCCTTCAATGTCTATTTTTCAAAATTAAAGTTATGTCTGGTAAAAATGCTGATTTGTTTTAAGTGGACTATAGTATCTGACTGTGTGACTTATTGTTCAGGCCAGAAAACTAGCTACCAAATTAGATACTGGGAAAGATTTTAAAAAGCGCCTAAATGAAATCTAGAAATAAAGGGATTTATGAGCTTAAGTTAAGTTAAGTTTGGTTAACTTTTGAAAACATTATCTATTGTAAATTCCTTCATTAAAGGCACCTATATATCAAGGCCAAAGCATTAGTTTTTCAGCTATATTTTCCTATTCTTGTGTGTGTGATTTCTTTTCAACAAAGTAGAATATTAAATGACCTTTTGCAAATTTACTTAGGGGCATCGGAGGAAAAACTGGAAAGTGAGGAAGTTTGTTCTAAGAGAGGACCCTGCATATCTTCACTACTATGATCCTGCTGGGGTGAGAGAGAGCGTATTATTGTCCATATTATTTTTACCAGCATCATTCAAGAACTTCTAAAGACATGCAGAGCTGACAATAAATTTGCTAGGCCCTGGAATATGTGTGTGGGAGGGGGAAGGGGGGGGGGGCTTGGCTTCCGGTCCATCCAGAAGAGGTGGGGACTTAGGTTTAAGGGCTAGGGCTAGGAACAGCCAACCCTCAGAGCCACCCAGACCATATCGTGCCTCCCATAGCCAGCCCTCAGTACTGCCTGGACCACATCACATAGGGATTTAAAAGGACTGGAATCCCTTTTAAATCTTTCCACCCTCAACCTTTTGGCAGCTCTGAAGACATCACCGCCAGCTGACCTGGTGAACTGACTGTTCCTTTGGAGTGTTTGTTGGGGCAATGCGTGTGTATGGGGGGATGCTTGTGCTGCTTTTGATTAACTGTAGCTGTTCTCTAGATAAGCAAAGAACGTCAGTCTCTAAATGTGCTGGATGGGCATAGCTGAGGGAAAGTTCATGGGCATGGGAAAGGAGAGGTCATGAGCACCAGTCATGCCTCTGCTCAGTCCTTTGACCCATTAATTACATTAAGAAGACTGTCGTGCTGTCTGGAGTGGTTCATGGCCGTCAGTGCCAGTCTCAGAGCAAACTGTCAAAAAGTAGGACAGCCATCGCAACCAGGCTGGGTGTTCTACGATTAGATCTCACCTACCCAGAAATGTGTATTTCTGGATCACAGTAACAGTCTCACCATAGAGTGACAGACAGTCCCCTTGGCTACTCCTGTCTCTCTTGCTCCCCGGCAAACTGGACTTAGTGATAACTGGACATTTACAACAAAGATCACAAAATATTAAGGTTGCTCCCAGTGCCAAGAGACCAGGCACTTCCCACAGCTCCCATTGGCTGAGAACGGTGGTCCGCAGCCACCAGGAGCTGCAGTCGCCTGTACTTGTGGAGGTGCAGGTAAATATAGTAGTGTTGGGCCGCCAGGGGCTAAACCTGGTGAACTGCATGTGGCCTGTGGGCTGGTATTTGCCTACCCTTGTTCTGTAGTAAAGGGTTTATTACCTATGAGAAATAAATGTATTCTTTACAAGTTGAAGCAGAAAACATTAAGTACAAATGAGTTATAATCTTAGATTCAAAAAGATGATAGAGATGTCATAATTTGAATATCATTTAGGGGTAACTCAAGTTAATCCTGGGGATGTCTGCTTTTGTTTCTTAGGCCTTTTCTACACTTACCAGCATGTCAATCGACTTCAGCTATGCAAATAGCATAGCTGAAGTCAAAACATTCTGTGGCATCTTGTGTCCAGTACGGTCAACAGGAGTTGTTCTCCTGTCGACATTGGCTACTTTTCTCATCTTGGTGGTGTACCAGCATCAACGGGAGCACACTTGGAGACTGATTTATCGCATCTAGCAAATGAAATATATCAATGGCCAGTGGATAGATCACTATAGCATTTGGTCTACCACATAGGCTGTGTCTAGACTGGCCAGTTTTTCCGGAAAATCAGCCACTTTTCCGGAAAAACTTGCCAGCTGTCTACACTGGCCGCTTGAATTTCCACAAAAGCACTGAATTCCTACTGTAAGAAATCAGAGCTTCTTGTGGAAATACTATTCTGCTCCCATTCAGGCAAAAGTCCCTTTTGCGCAAAGTGTTTGCGCAAAAGGGCCAGTGTAGACAGCTCAGATTTGTTTTCCGCAAAAAAGCCCCGATCACGAAAAAGTGCTTTTGCAGAAAAGCACCCGTGCCAATCTAGACGCTCTGTTCCGAGAATGCTTTTAACGGAAAACTTTTCCGTTAAAAGCATTTCCGGAAAATCATGCCAATCTAGATGCAGCTTATAGTGTAGACAAGACCTTAGCTCCAGCCCTTGTGAAAGTCCAAGCAGCAAGTTACTGATCATTCCTTCTTGTGAACATCTTTATATGCCTGTCTCCAAAAGTTCAAACTGATAGGACAAATGCTCCTGCATGTAAGTTCTTCATGGGTGGTTGGGGCAATCAGCAAAGCTTTGTTCCTGAAATGGCCTATTTAGTCTCAATAGTTCTTCTGGAAGGGCAGGAAAACAGTCTTTAATAATATTCTTAAATAATGCTGCTGTGTAGATGTACCCTAACAGTCCAGTAACATGCCAGTTACGTCTATTTGATCCTAAGCTGGTCAAGCCCTAGCCAGTGGAAAGTCAGCATCGAGGAGTTTTGCTCTGCTACAGCCTCAGCCCACTCCCAATTTGCCCTTCCAACCCCTAGCACAAACCCTTTGCTGGAATGGGCATGTGTTGGGGGGGGAGGGGGGGATAGCTGCTTCTTTTAGGTTTGTGACAGCAGAATTTTTCTCTCTACAAGGAGAATTTCTCTCCTGGCTGCTCACAGCTACAGTCCTGGAGTGGTGTGTAAACAAGAATCTGGCTTAGCCCCTTTTATCAAACAATGCTAAGATTTGCCATCCTTCGTGGAATTGTATCTGCTGGGTGAATGTGCAGAGATGTTGCTTCTCTTCCCTGAAGTGTGGGACCAGCCAATCCAGATCCGGCACTGTACAAATTTATTTTCTACATTCTTTTTGCACATTGAGCTCACAAAGGTTCCTACAAAATATTTAACACAGCCTGTATTCCAAAGGGGCTCACCCATCCACATGTAATTTGCCCTGCCCCATGGTGCCCATGTTTTTCATCAGACATTTCTGCTTCCAGTGAAGAGCTCTAGTCAGATATAGCTGGACATCTTTTGAAGCAGATGGGCTGGATTTGAAACCAGGCCAATGACTGTTTTGTTTGGAATTCCTGCCAGGGAGAAGATCCACTTGGAGCGATTCACTTGAGGGGTTGCGTGGTGACAGCTGTTGAAGACACACCAGATGGTAAGGAAACACGCACAAATAGCAGTGTAGTGTTTGCAGTACACACCTCGATGCAGTCATACAACAAGCCTGCCTCAAAAATAAGCCATTTGCAATTTATCATCAATGGATCAGGTAAGCAGCGTTAAGCATAAGAACGGCCATACTGAGTCAGACCTAAGGTCCATCTAGCCCAGTATCCTGTCTTCCGACAGTGGCCAATGCCTTATGTCCCAGAGGGTATGTCTACACTACCACCCTAGTTCGAACTAGGGTGGTAATGTAGGCAACCGGAGTTGCAAATGAAGCCCGGGAAATTCAAATCCCGGGCTTCATTTGCCACTCTGGTTGCCTACATTACCACCCTAGTTCGAACTAGGGTGGTAATGTAGGCAACCGGAGTTGCAAATGAAGCCCGGGAAATTCAAATCCCGGGCTTCATTTGCCACTCTGGTTGCCTACATTACCACCCTAGTTCGAACTAGGGTGGTAATGTAGGCAACCGGAGTTGCAAATGAAGCCCGGGAAATTCAAATCCCGGGCTTCATTTGCCACTCTGGTTGCCTACATTACCACCCTAGTTCGAACTAGGGTGGTAATGTAGGCAACCGGAGTTGCAAATGAAGCCCGGGAAATTCAAATCCCGGGCTTCATTTGCCACTCTGGTTGCCTACATTACCACCCTAGTTCGAACTAGGGTGGGAGTGTAGACATACCCAGAGGGAGTGAACAGAACAGGTAATTACCAAGTGATCCAAAACTAGAGCTCCACAGCTATCCTGATTTTACTATTTGCTTAGACTACTACTAACAACATTATATCTGGCTTCCATGCAAAGGTAATCTGCACAGAGTCCATGAATTTTGCGGCTGCTGCAGCCCATGACTCTGGAGGGGAGGTGTTGGAGTAAGAAGGTTAGGCCAAGGAGCAGACAACCTACATGTCATACTCTCTCCTGAAAGCATGGAAAATGCTCATGGGGACATACTGTGGGTAATTTTGCAAGAAATAATATTAGCAGCCATTTCGTACGGTCTCCCCTCCATGCAGGGATGGATAGTATGACCAACAGCAAGGCTGGCTATGGGCCACTTGACTTCAGAGGGGGCTCTGTTGCCACAGGGGAAGGAAACGTGGAGGCATCATGATCGGGGGAGGTCTGAGCTTCCTCTCGTTGCAGAGAGCTGTGCTCAGCTGATTTTGGAGGCGACATTCAGTCCAGCCCACAGACTGTGGGAGGGTTGGATGTGGCTCTTAGAACTTGATAAATGTGTCACTCTTGTTCTTTAGTGTTGATGGTTCCTGTACAGGATTTCCACTTGGGGGAGGCTTCTATTCAGTTGTGATGTTTGGCAGGGGAGGAGCTGTGATACTGGAAGAAAGGAAGGAAATCCCCATATGGTCTTAGAAGCAGAAACACAGTAAACCTGGGCTAAAAATGCTCTATTCACTTCTGTAATTTGCTGCTTTCTCCCCCACCCCCAACTTCTTTTAGCTAAGAAGCATGATGTTGACACCAACCTGTTTGAAATCATCACAGCAAGTGAAATCCACTATTTTTTGCAAGCAGCGACACCCGTGGAACGTACAGCGTGGATCAAAGCGATTCAAGTTGTTTCTAGGACTGGGAAATAAAGACCAGACTCCAGCGGAAAACCAAACTGAGCACTCCTAGCAAAAGGGAATTTTAACCTGGAGCCCTGGGAAATGATTCCATCCATTGTCTCCTCTTCCTGAGGCTGGTGGGCAGTTTAATGTCTGCAATGGCTACTAACAAACTAACAAACTCCCCACAATTGTAGCTGAGAGATTTTACTCATTTAAAGTATGTCTTAAATATGTCTTACTAATTGGTGCATCTTTTTTATTATTAGCATCTCCTGTGAAGGTGACAACTTGTGCTGTTTTGGTTTTTTTGGACTCATTGATGATAGTGACAGTTTTACCATTACTGTGGTTGGGGCCAGGATCCTGCCACAGATGTAAATAAAGTGAACTAAAACTGTCAGCTTTCAGCATTCTTTTGTTACTCAGCTACATTCTAGTTGTGACGGGGCGGTCACAGAAGACCCCTTGGGCTGCTTCCCAGTGTGCTGACAAAGCCACTGACACTCACCTTCTCTTCTTGCTCTCTGGCGCTTCTCACGACCCTGTCCTGCTGGGCCAAATTTTCTGGTTTCCCCCAGACAAGGCACAGAGGTGAGACTACCTCCCCAAGAGCAATGCAGACATTGAATTAGGTCAGCTCTCATGAGAGTGCGGTTCTGGGCACAGCCTTTAGGAAACCGGCCTCCACATGGGCTCAAAACTCCAAATAAATCTGTGAGATTTTAAAAAATTGAAAGCCCATTCAGGTAAGCCCCCTGTAACCCGTTGCCCTTGTGGCCACCCCCCCGAGTTCGGGTGGCCCCACGTCCTGAACAGAGGACCGGCCTCCTGGCCTTCCGCCCAATCGCGGATTCCGGCCGACCGTGTGGGGGTGCCGGGGCCCCGCCCTCCCTCCGAGCCCCAACCCAGGGCCCTAAGATGGGGACGCTAGTCCCTAGTCAGTGGAGGGGGCTAAGTTCCCCCAAACCCTCCACTCGCGGGGTACACGGCCCCGCCCTGGGTCGCTTCTTCCCGGCCAGATCCCCGTCACGTTCCCCAGCGAGGAGACAGACTCACCCGGAGTCCCTTCCCCCGGTGGGGCGTCTGCCGCCGAGGTTCACGCGTCTCCTGTGGGCCTCCCGGTGAGCCAGGGTCCTTCCTCCCGTCCCAGGTGCTTCCCCCTTTCTGCCCACGGCTGGTCTCCTTTTGAATGGCCCGCTCCCCTACTGACGCCGGGGCCGGCGTGGTCCCGTGACTCCAGGCCCCGCCCCTCCCAGCGTCCTCCCCGTCGCCTCCCGTGACGTCATCGGCAGGGGGGGGCGGGGGCCGGCGGGGGACATCCCCCCCACCCCCTCCCGTGACGTCATCGGCAGGCGCCGGGTGAACCCGCGGGCTGACGGCCGTCCCGGCCGTGGATGCTGCTCCCGGGTTCCCCGTCTCAGTGCGGGGCGGCGCGGACAATGTGCCTGCCCCGTCACACCCCCCTTAACAATGAAAGGGGGAATGTACACACTGATTGCTCCCCCAGGTAGCAATTATTTACACTGGGCTTGATAGTAAATAAAAGTCATTTTATTAAGTACAAGCTGTAAGATTTAAGTGGTTGCCAGTGAAAACAGACTGAGGAAAGTAAAATTACAAATTTAAAATAAAAGAAAATGCATAGTTAGTTCTTTAAAAACAACAAGTAGTCCTGTGGCATCTTAGGGTATATCTATACTATGGGATAAAGTCGAATTAAGATTCATAATTTCAGCTACATTAATTGCGTAGCAAAGTCGAAGTACCTTAACTGAACTTTTGGTGCCATCCACATGCAGAAAATCAAAGGGAGCACACTCTCCCTTCAACTTCACTTATTCCTCATGGAAGCAGGACTACCAGCATTGACCAGAGTGCCCCGCTCAGTTCGAATTAGCTGTCTTAACTAGACCAGCTAATTCAATCCCTGGAAGATCGACAGCGGCAGCTTCCATCTTTTCTGTAGTGTAGACATATGCTTAGAGACTAACTATATATAATCATGAGCTTTTGTGGGCAAAAACCACTTCATCAGATGAGATGACCTTGAGATGAGCTAATTCTAACACACTGAAGCTTATTGAAAACTTACCCTAAAACTGTTCTTATTTCGGACAAACCTCCAAGCCAGGACAGATCTTTTTTCCCCTGGGGTCTCCAGCTGTTCTCTTGGGTGTGTCATGCCAGCCATAGACCAAGAGACTGAAAGCTTTCTAGTTTAAACAGGCTTCCTTTCGGGTGGGAATTCTTTGTTTCTACACCCCTCTTCTATGAAAATTTGCCTGATCAGAACGTACCTGTTGGGGTGGTCACATGTCTTCCTAAGATCAATCACTGCTTATGCTTAAGGACAAAGAAGGCTGTTCTCAAGTCATTAAATTGATCACACAGTGATTAAGGTGTCCAAGCATTGGAAAAACCCTTGATGGCTTTTCTTTGCATATTTAAAACTATAAATCATTCCATTCCCCATATTTCTAACTTTACATACAAGAATGATACCTACACCAAAATAAGATATACAGATCCAGCAGAAAGAAACACTAAAATTGATAGGTCACACAAGATATTTTGTTCAAAGCATCTTTGAGTTATGCATATTTGTATCCATAAAAAAAAACTTAAAAAAACAATGAATGGTCCTGCAGCACCTTAGAGAGTAACGAAAAATGTAGATGGCATCATGAGCTTTCATGGGCACAGCCCACTTCTTCAGATGACTGGAGCAAGGGGACCACAGGTACAAATAAATAGTAGAAAAAGAGGATGGGGAGGGAAAGAAAAGGAAAAAAAACCTTGTCAATTAATTAGAGTATCTTTGCTAAATGAGGCTAATACAGTGGCGGTGTAATTAACTGATATTTAGCTCTTGATGTCATGAGGGTGTTGAATGTAGTGGCCCATCCAGTTCATATCTTTGTTTAGATCAGTGGTTATGAACCAGTAGATCAGGATCTAGGGGTAGACCATGGAGCTTCTGACAGGTGATCCTGACAGGTTTGGCCAAGAGCCTATCAAGCGCTGGTGCTTCATCTGCCCCTCCCCTACTGCTGTGCATCTCTTGCCCTCTGCCTTGGAGCTGACTCCTGCCAGCCCCGGGAACCTCCTGTTTGCTGTGCAGGGCAGGGGAGGGAGAAGAGGGACACTGATGTCAAGGTGCCCCCGCCCACCCTTTATCCTATCCCCACAGAGCAGAGGGTGGGGGCACAACAGGACTTGGGATGGAGTTTGCTGGCTGCTTCTGGGAGTGGTGCAGGGCCAGGGCAGGGTGAGCCTGTCTTAGCCCCACTGCACCACCAACCAGGAGCCACCTGAAGTAAGCCCAGTCAGAGCCCACATCCTGAAACCCTCCCCAGTCATGAACCCTCTCCTGCACCCAAGCCTCTGCCTCAGCCCCGATCACCCCAGCATCCAAACACCCTCCCAGCATCTGCATCTAGAACCCCCTCCTGCACCCTGACTGCCTGTCCCAAGCTCAGCTCAGAGCCCCTCTCACTCCAGATCCCTTAATCCAAGACCAGAGCCTGCACCCCAACCCACTGCCCCTGCTTGATGAAAGTGAGGGAGGATGGGGGAGGGAAGGAGGATGGAGTGAGCAGGGGTAGGGCCTCAGAGAAGGGGCACAAAGGAGGCAGGGAAAAGGTATTTGGGTTTGAGGTAGATCTTGGATTGCACCTTAAATTCAAAAAGTGATCTTGTGCTTAAAAAGGTTGGAGACTCCTGGTTTAGATCTTGATTAAAGGTGACAAATTTGCAAATAGAGGCAAGTTCCACAGCCTCTCTTTCCGGCTGGTTTTTTTAAAATTGCTGTGTAAGGGTATAGTCACTTTTAGATCCATTAGTGAGTGCCTGGGCAAGTTAAAATGTTCCCCAACAGGTTTCTCTGTGTTAGCATTTTGAATATCTAATGTGTGTCCATTAATATCTGATGTGTGTCCTTGGTCATAGAGACTGTCCCGTTTCTAACCATAAGACAGTCTCATACTTCATACATCAATGTCTTCAAATAAGTTACATCTATGCGGCACCAAGACATGGACTACAGGGTGTGAAAAGCAGTGTGCATCCAAATGCTGCACTGTCACAGGCAAGAGTGGTTGCTGTGGGCATGAACTAAAAGATTCCTACTTTCGATTAATGTAGTCTGCTGGAAGAGAACAATGTTAATCCAAACGAGAAACCTTTTCATTCGTGCCTGCAGCATACATACCAGGGGAGCTACAGGGCAGCATTTCAGTGCGCATTGCTGTTCAGACCCCTGGAGTCTGAATTGTGGGTCAGTGGAGACAAGCTCCACAGTATTTATTTATGGCAGAAATGTTGCGCCTGAATAAATATAACCAGAATAAATACTAGCATTGGTGTGGTTCTGTTTATCTGAATATGCCCATAAAAGCCACTGACCCACTTCAGGCAGAAATGTTGCGCCTGAATAAATATAACCAGAATAAATACTAGCATTGGTGTGGTTCTGTTTATCTGAATATGCCCATAAAAGGCTGACTTGGACAAGGGTTAAAGCTAGCGCTCTCTCAGATTCTGTGGGCTGATAGGAAGGTGACTTGGACATGGGTTAAAGCTAGCGCTCTCTCAGATTCTGTGTGTAGCTCTGCTTTAGGCTACCATTTTCTTATATGCAGGAGAAGCTCCACACTTATTTTGGATACAGTGAGCAACCAAAAACTAAGCTCCTTATCCAAACCCCTTTGGCCAAGAAATTAGCTGGGAGAACAGCCTCTCCATCACGGTTCCCTCTAACTGTTTTGTCCTCCATGTGCAGAATGAATTTTGTTATAAGCACCAAGGTACCACCAGTAGAAACACATGCTGTCCACTGTGGCTGCTTGGCTGATCAACTGAATTTCTCCTGGGTGGCCACCTTCACACTCAGTTTACAGGGAAAATTGCTCTCCATATTCAATGCTTTCCACTTCTGAGCCAGACGAGATGAGGAAGTGAAGACATAGAAAAGAGAGGGCATGGGGTAAAGTGAATATTTAAAAATTGGTTTGTGTTCTGGGCCAAGATTTGGGTAGCTTCTGAGACATAAGCATGCACTTTACATTTTTGAGAGCTCCTTCAATGCTCTGAAAGGCAGTCCTTGTTTTATTTGAGCTGCTTTACCAGCCCTGCTGTATGTAGGACAGATCCTGCAACACTGATGTACATAGTCACTCTGAAGTGAATGGGACTTTCTATATGACCAAAGATTGGAGAATGATGCCCCAGAGCCTCATCTTCCTGTGAAAGGACTTATGGGCCTGATCTCCTATCCTGATGCTAGTGGCAATTTGAGAAAGCCCTAAAGCAGATGCTTAAATCTATCCCTGTTCAGGGACAGCATTTAAACCCTGAAAATATGAAATTAGGAAGCTAAGGGAAA